GGGTCCTAGGATCTTGAGCGGCGTTAGCCGTAAGAGCTCTGATAGCATGTTAGAATTGAACCATTCACTTGATTAGGAATCATGAGGGTTTACATAGTGGAAGCTAGGGGACAGGGGGTTGGTTGGTTACCTAGCCAACATTATTGGCCCCCCACCAATAAGTTGGGTTGGAGAATTATTGGGGGGTCCCAATAATGTTGGCCAAAGGTGGGCCAACATTATTGGGGGGGCCAATAATCTCCCAACCCAACCTTGGAGGCCAATAATTGGACCAAGGTTAGGTTCCAACCCCCAACTAGGGTTAACCCTAGTTGTGCACCCAAACATAGTTTGGGTGCCTATCTCTATCCTAGGGTTTATAGGATCAATGCAGGATACAGAAGAGTAGTATAATCTAACAAAACCTGACCTCAAACCTGACCTCAAACCTGACGTCAAACCTGACCTCAAACCTGACCTCAAACCTGACCTCAAACCTGACCTCAAACCTGACCTCAAACCTGACGTCAAACCTGACGTCAAACCTGACCTCAAACCTGACCTCAAACCTGACCTCAAACCTGACCTCAAACCTGACCTCAAACCTGATGTCAAACCTGACGTCAAACCTGACGTCAAACCTGACCTTAAACCTGACCTCAAACCTGACCTCAAACCTGACCTCAAACCTGACCTCAAACCTGACCTCAAACCTGACCTCAAACCTGACCTCAAACCTGACCTCAAACCTGACGTCAAACCTGACCTCAAACCTGACGTCAAACCTGACCTCGAACCTGACCTCAAACCTGACCTCAAACCTGACCTCAAACCTGACCTCAAACCTGACCTCAAACCTGACCTCAAACCTGACCTCAAACCTGACCTCAAACCTGACGTCAAACCTGACCTCAAACCTGACCTCAAGCCAGACCTAAAACCTGACCTCAAACCTGACCTCAAACCTGACGTCAAACCTGACGTCAAACCTGACGTCAAACCTGACCTTAAACCTGACCTCAAACCTGACCTCAAACCTGACCTCAAACCTGACCTCAAACCTGACCTCAAACCTGACCTCAAACCTGACCTCAAACCTGACGTCAAACCTGACCTCAAACCTGACGTCAAACCTGACCTCGAACCTGACCTCAAACCTGACCTCAAACCTGACCTCAAACCTGACCTCAAACCTGACCTCAAACCTGACCTCAAACCTGACCTCAAACCTGACCTCAAACCTGACCTCAAACCTGACCTCAAACCTGACCTCAAACCTGACCTCAAACCTGACCTCAAACCTGACGTCAAACCTGACCTCAAACCTGACCTCGAACCTTACCTCAAACCTGACGTCAAACCTGACCTCGAACCTGACCTCAAACCTGACCTCAAACCTGACCTCAAACCTGACCTCAAACCTGACCTCAAACCTGACCTCAAACCTGACGTCAAACCTGACCTCAAACCTGACCTCAAACCTGACCTCAAACCTGACCTCAAACCTGACCTCAAACAATACATCAAACCTGACCTCAAACCTGACGGCAAACCTGACCTCAAACCTGACCTCAAACCTTACCTCAAACCTGACGGCAAGCCTGACCTCAAACCTGACCTCAAACCTGACGTCAAACCTGACGTCAAACCTGACGTCAAACCTGACGTCAAACCTGACGGCAAACCTGACCTCAAACCTGACGTCAAACCTGACCTCAAACCTGACCTCAAACCTGACCCCAAACCTGACCTCAAACCTGACCTCAAACCTGACTTCAAACCTGACCTCAAACCTGACCTCAAACCTGACCTCAAACCTGATGTCAAACCTGACGTCAAACCTGACCTCAAACCTGACCTCAAACCTGACCTCAAACCTGACCTCAAACCTGACGTCAAACCTGACCTCAAACCTGACCTCAAACCTGACCTCAAACCTGACGTCAAACCTGACGTCAAACCTGACGTCAAACCTGACCTCAAACCTGACCTCAAACCTGACGTCAAACCTGACCTCAAACCTGACGTCAAACCTGACCTCAAACCTGACCTCAAACCTGACTTCAAACCTGACCTCAAACCTGACCTCAAACCTGACCTCAAACCTGACCTCAAACCTGACCTTAAACCTGACGGCAAACCTGACGTCAAACCTGACGTCAAACCTGACCTCAAACCTGATGTCAAACCTGACCTCAAACCTGACGTCAAACCTGACGTCAAACCTGACCTCAAACCTGGCGTCAAACCTGACGTCAAACCTGACCTCAAACCTGAGCTTCATGCTGCACCAGTGAGCTTCACGCTGTAACTTGTAGGTTTGAGGTGACTCGTAGGATTGAGGGGACTAGTAGGTTCTAGGTGACTCATAGGTTTGATGTGACTCGTAGATTTGAGGTGACTCGTAGATTTGAGGTGACTTGTAGATTTGAGGTGACTAGTAGATTTGAGGTGACTCGTAGGTTTGAGGTGACTAGTAGGTTTGAGGTGACTAGTAGGTTTGAGGTGACGCGTAGGTTTGAGGTGACTAGTAGATTTGAGGTGTTTAGTAGGTTTGAGGTGACTAGTAGGTTTGAGGCGACAGTGAGGTGACTTTTGAGAATTCTCAGAAGTTACAGTCTGTGTGTGGTGATTGTGGTGCGAGTTGGTGGTGTGTTGGTGAGGTGGTGTGGTATGGTGTCGTCTGCTGTGCTGGTGCTGTGCTGTTGCGGCATGAGGTGAGGTGTTCTGGTATGGTGGGCCGTGCTGTGCTGTTGCGGCATGCATCATGCCACAGGCAGGATGTGATGCAGCAGCTGGAAGGAAGTGGGCACTAGACGCAGCTCAGGCCAAAGAAGATTCTTTGGTGGGAGCCTGGGAGGGAAGGAGTGGAGATTCAGGACTTCTGTTGGTATGCCTCGCCACGCTGCCATGCCATGCCATGCCATCCATGCCGTGCCATGCCATCCATGCCGTCTAACAGCATCTTGTTGTTACTGTCACAGACTGGTCTGGTGTATTGAGTCGACCAAATAACCATCCTTGTCTCCAGAGCCAGCACATCACACCCTCACACCCCCCCTCCTCCCCACCTCTTTGCCATTGCCGGTACATTGTACAAACAGTTTAAAGCCCGAGTACAGCATGGTTATTTTCAAGTTCAAGATTCTTGAACTTGAAATCGTCAAAAACAGGGTTACCCTACTTTGTTTGACGGAACTCTTGCGACTCTGGGACAACGCCTAGCGACACTCTCTCCTCATTGGCTTTGGGCACAATCGCAAAACAGAACCGAACGTCGCTCAGGTTGGCCCGCTGTTTGGCTCTCACATATCTTCAACGCCTAGTAGTACTCATGACCAGCCTAGTACCTCACGTAAGTAGGAAGCCAGTAGGCATCAGCTAGTTCCCCTGACCGCGTTTTTTATGGCAACTCACGTCACTCATGCTGTCTCGCCAATAGCTGGGCAGCACAAGCCTAGTGTCGCTGTCGATATATACATACGTTTTCGCGTCACTCACATGGAATGTGTGAGACAAACGAGGTCTTCACCATGCTACCCTACGTTTAGCGCGCGTCGTCACCCGCGCTCCCCCAGCGCCACCCGCGCCTGCCCTCGTTACTCGCACCTGCCCTCGTCACTCGCACCTGCCCTCGTCACTCGCACCTGCCCTCGTCACTCGCACCTGCCCTCGTCACTCGCGCCTGCCCTCGTCACTCGCGCCTGCCCTCGTCACTCGCGCCTGCCCTCGTCACTCGCGCCTGCCCTCGTCACTCGCGCCTGCCCTCGTCACTCGCGCCTGCCCGGGATTCCGTGCTTCGCCTCGTCATGCGCTTCCCTTCGTCACGCGCGATTCGCTTCGTCACGCGCGATTCCCTTCGTCACGCACATTTCCGCTCGTCGCGCACGTGCCTTCTCGTCACGCGCGCTTCCCCTCGTTGCGCGATCTCCTACCCTCGCCGCACGCGTTTCCCCTCGTTACGCGCAATCCTCCCCTCGTCACGCGTGCTTCCCCTCGTTACGCGCACTCCTCTCCTCGTCACGCGCTCAACCATTCACTCGCGATCTTCTGTAGACCCCTAGCTGCAGCCGACGGCACGCGCATGTGTCGTTGCCCCAGTTGCTCCTCTAGGCCCTCGCCTCCCGTCGTCGCCTCTGCCACCCCAATTGGGCGGGGGACAGGAAGGGAACGGGCGGGGGAGATGAGAAGGACAGAAGGGGAAGGACAAGGGGGAGAGGGGGAAGGACAGAGGGTGAGAGACAGAGGGGGACGGACAAATGGGGAGGGACAAAGGGGAAGGACACAGGTGGAGAGACAGAGGGTGAAGGGCCGAGGGGGAGAGACAGAAGTTGAAGGATGGAGGGGGAGGAACAGAGGGGGAGGGGCAGAGAGTGAGAGACAGAGGTAAGAGCGGGTACTTCCCTCACTCCCTCTCCCTGTCGACCTCACTTCCCTCAAATTGTTTACACCCCTCTTTATTTTGACCAACCTCCCTTTCTCCCACCAGCTCTGTTTACCCCGCAATATATTCTCCGTTGCCTCACCTGCTTCCCCCCTCCATCGCCCCTGCTTCCACCCTCCCTCCGCCCTGCTTCCCCCCTCCCTATGCCCTGCTTCCCCCCACCCTCAGAGAGGTGAGCGCCGCGCACCACGTGAGCATTCGATTTCCCCGGCCTGCCCCTCCTCTCCCTCGATCTCACCATCTTTCCTCTCCCTCCCCATGTACCTCTCCTCTCCCTCCCCATGTACCTCTCCTCTCCCTCCCCATGTACCTCTCCTCTCCCTCCCCTTGTACATTCGCAAAGAGGAGGGGGGACGCACGCGCAACAAGGGGACAGCGCAGCAGACTTGGGAATAAGCTCAGTTTCTTTTCTCCCCGTCTTCCTGCCTCCACCCAACTCCTTGCAGACTTATTTGGACTGCATGCACATTCTCAAGGAGGGGGGGCGCAGGTGCAATTAGGGGGCAGCGCAGCAGCCTTGGGAGCGATCTCACGTCCCCCCTCCCCTGCGCTCTCTCCTCTTCCCTTCTCATTCCAGACCTATCTGGATTCCATTCACATTCGCAAGGAGTACAACGGGCACACGCGCAACAACGGGGCAGTGCAGCAGCCGCAATCACAGCCGCTGGCAGCATCTGGTGATACTGCCATCCCTCTCGTTGCCCTGCCTGCCTCTGTCATACTGCCCCTTTTGCTCCCTCCCTCCTTCCTGCAACCCTCTCCCGTTCTTTCCAACCTCGTGTTCCCTGTATTCCTGACTCCCCCTTCACTGCCGTATTGGGGAACAGTTCCCCACCGCCTGCATTCTCCTAACATACCCTCCTGCCCACCACAGACCATGATCCTACAACCCAATCTTCTCTTCCTCCCATCATCTCCACCCCATGTACCTTGATCCGTCCCTCTTGCTCGCACAATAACACCGACTATCCTTCTCTCTCTTTCTCTCATCGTGTGTCTCCCTCTGTAGATCCCTCTCTTCATCTCCCCCTCTCACCATCCCCCCCTCTCACCATCTCCCCCTCTCACCATCTCTCCCTCTCTCCCTCTGACTCTCTCCCTCCCTCCATCGCTCCCTCCCTCCCTCTCCCTCTCTCCACCTCTCTCCCTCTCTGCCTCGCTCCATATCCCCCTCTCCCCGTCTCTCTCCCTCTTTCGTACTCTGGTGGGTAGGTGAATGGAGGGCTGCTGATTCCTCTGGACGCATGGTCCCTGCTTCCCAAGCCCTCGCCTCACACTCTCCATGCTTCCATTGTTTACCTCTACTCTCGCACAACCAAACTCCCTCTTTCCTGCCCTTGCACTCCCATTCTTCCTCGCAGTTATCATATCCACACCTACCGTCTTCCCCTCTCTTCCTGCCCCACCACCTCTCCTTCCCGCCTCCCCATCTCCCTTTCCTGCCTTCCCACCTTTCCACCCATCGCTCATCCCTTTGTTTCCGCGTCAAGCAGGACTAGTTCGGGCTCAGAGGAGTTTGGCAGCGTAAAGGGAGCAGTAGGAGGCACAGGAAAGTGTTGAGCGAACCCTGAAATGCTAGAGCAGAGGACAACACTCGCATTTACCTTGAAATGTGTACATCATATTGCTCAAATTGCATACCTCAGTGCTGTGCCCAGTTGCATCATGTAACAATTCGTTATCTATAGGTGTAAGGTTTGCAAGTTACAGATGTTATCTACGTTATCAAAGCTATTGCATGTGCTGGAAATCTTGAATGAACTGTTGTAATATCCTATCAGATCGTTTGATACACTAATGCCACACACACACAAGCCGTTACAACTGTACACTGGTATTTGGTTCCACCAAGATGCAAAGACGGCTGGATGCCCATTGTGGTGCTGTGGAGGAAAAAAAAACAGAAAGGAAAGGAGGAACAGAGGGTAAGCTGGAGGGTTAGGAAGGGTGAGCAGGGGGGAGGAAGGCTAGCACGGGGCAAAGGAAGGGGTAAGCAAGGGGGGACCATAATGAACAGCAGGGGGGAAATGAGGGGACGCAGGGGGAGAAATGAGGGGACGCAGGGGGAGAAATGAGGGGACGCAGGGGGAGAAATGAGGGGACGCAGGGGGAGTGAAAAGGGGACGCAGGGGGAGAAATGAGGGGACGCAGGGGGAGAAATGAGGGGACGCAGGGGGAGAAATGAGGGGACGCAGGGGGAGAAATGAGGGGACGCAGGGGGAGAAATGAGGGGACGCAGGGGGAGAAATGAGGGGACGCAGGGGGAGAAATGAGGGGACGCAGGGGGAGAAATGAGGGGACGCAGGGGGAGAAATGAGGGGACGCAGGGGGAGAAATGAGGGGACGCAGGGGGAGAAATGAGGGGACGCAGGGGGAGAAATGAGGGGACGCAGGGGGAGAAATGAGGGGACGCAGGGGGAGAAATGAGGGGACGCAGGGGGAGAAATGAGGGGACGCAGGGGGAGAAATGAGGGGACGCAGGGGGAGAAATGAGGGGACGCAGGGGGAGAAATGAGGGGACGCAGGGGGAGAAATGAGGGGACGCAGGGGGAGAAATGAGGGGACGCAGGGGGAGAAATGAGGGGACGCAGGGGGAGAAATGAGGGGACGCAGGGGGAGAAATGAGGGGACGCAGGGGGAGAAATGAGGGGACGCAGGGGGAGAAATGAGGGGACGCAGGGGGAGAAATGAGGGGACGCAGGGGGAGAAATGAGGGGACGCAGGGGGAGAAATGAGGGGACGCAGGGGGAGAAATGAGGGGACGCAGGGGGAGAAATGAGGGGACGCAGGGGGAGAAATGAGGGGACGCAGGGGGAGAAATGAGGGGACGCAGGGGGAGAAATGAGGGGACGCAGGGGGAGAAATGAGGGGACGCAGGGGGAGAAATGAGGGGACGCAGGGGGAGAAATGAGGGACGCAGGGGGAGAAATGAGGGGACGCAGGGGGAGAAATGAGGGGACGCAGGGGGAGAAATGAGGGGACGCAGGGGGAGAAATGAGGGGACGCAGGGGGAGAAATGAGGGGACGCAGGGGGAGAAATGAGGGGACGCAGGGGGAGAAATGAGGGGACGCAGGGGGAGAAATGAGGGGACGCAGGGGGAGAAATGAGGGGACGCAGGGGGAGAAATGAGGGGACGCAGGGGGAGAAATGAGGGGACGCAGGGGGAGAAATGAGGGGACGCAGGGGGAGAAATGAGGGGACGCAGGGGGAGAAATGAGGGGACGCAGGGGGAGAAATGAGGGGACACAGGGGGAGAAATGAGGGGACGCAGGGGGAGAAATGAGGGGACGCAGGGGGAGAAATGAGGGGACGCAGGGGGAGAAATGAGGGGACGCAGGGGGAGAAATGAGGGGACGCAGGGGGAGAAATGAGGGGACGCAGGGGGAGAAATGAGGGGACGCAGGGGGAGAAATGAGGGGACGCAGGGGGAGAAATGAGGGGACGCAGGGGGAGAAATGAGGGGACGCAGGGGGAGAAATGAGGGGACGCAGGGGGAGAAATGAGGGGACGCAGGGGGAGAAATGAGGGGACGCAGGGGGAGAAATGAGGGGACGCAGGGGGAGAAATGAGGGGACACAGGGGGAGAAATGAGGGGACGCAGGGGGAGAAATGAGGGGACGCAGGGGGAGAAATGAGGGGACGCAGGGGGAGAAATGAGGGGACGCAGGGGGAGAAATGAGGGGACGCAGGGGGAGAAATGAGGGGACGCAGGGGGAGAAATGAGGGGACGCAGGGGGAGAAATGAGGGGACGCAGGGGGAGAAATGAGGGGACGCAGGGGGAGAAATGAGGGGACACAGGGGGAGAAATGAGGGGACGCAGGGGGAGAAATGAGGGGACGCAGGGGGAGAAATGAGGGGACGCAGGGGGAGAAATGAGGGGACGCAGGGGGAGAAATGAGGGGACGCAGGGGGAGAAATGAGGGGACGCAGGGGGAGAAATGAGGGGACGCAGGGGGAGAAATGAGGGGACGCAGGGGGAGAAATGAGGGGACGCAGGGGGAGAAATGAGGGGACGCAGGGGGAGAAATGAGGGGACGCAGGGGGAGAAATGAGGGGACGCAGGGGGAGAAATGAGGGGACGCAGGGGGAGAAATGAGGGGACGCAGGGGGAGAAATGAGGGGACGCAGGGGGAGAAATGAGGGGACGCAGGGGGAGAAATGAGGGGACGCAGGGGGAGAAATGAGGGGACGCAGGGGGAGAAATGAGGGGACGCAGGGGGAGAAATGAGGGGACGCAGGGGGAGAAATGAGGGGACGCAGGGGGAGAAATGAGGGGACGCAGGGGGAGAAATGAGGGGACGCAGGGGGAGAAATGAGGGGACGCAGGGGGAGAAATGAGGGGACGCAGGGGGAGAAATGAGGGGACGCAGGGGGAGAAATGAGGGGACGCAGGGGGAGAAATGAGGGGACACAGGGGGAGAAATGAGGGGACGCAGGGGGAGAAATGAGGGGACGCAGGGGGAGAAATGAGGGGACGCAGGGGGAGAAATGAGGGGACGCAGGGGGAGAAATGAGGGGACGCAGGGGGAGAAATGAGGGGACGCAGGGGGAGAAATGAGGGGACGCAGGGGGAGAAATGAGGGGACGCAGGGGGAGAAATGAGGGGACGCAGGGGGAGAAATGAGGGGACGCAGGGGGAGAAATGAGGGGACGCAGGGGGAGAAATGAGGGGACGCAGGGGGAGAAATGAGGGGACGCAGGGGGAGAAATGAGGGGACGCAGGGGGAGAAATGAGGGGACACAGGGGGAGAAATGAGGGGACGCAGGGGGAGAAATGAGGGGACGCAGGGGGAGAAATGAGTGGACACAGGGGGAGAAATGAGGGGACGCAGGGGGAGAAATGAGGGGACGCAGGGGGAGAAATGAGGGGACGCAGGGGGAGAAATGAGGGGACGCAGGGGGAGAAATGAGGGGACGCAGGGGGAGAAATGAGGGGACGCAGGGGGAGAAATGAGGGGACGCAGGGGGAGAAATGAGGGGACGCAGGGGGAGAAATGAGGGGACGCAGGGGGAGAAATGAGGGGACGCAGGGGGAGAAATGAGGGGACGCAGGGGGAGAAATGAGGGGACGCAGGGGGAGAAATGAGGGGACGCAGGGGGAGAAATGAGGGGACACAGGGGGAGAAATGAGGGGACGCAGGGGGAGAAATGAGGGGACGCAGGGGGAGAAATGAGGGGACGCAGGGGGAGAAATGAGGGGACGCAGGGGGAGAAATGAGGGGACGCAGGGGGAGAAATGAGGGGACGCAGGGGGAGAAATGAGGGGACGCAGGGGGAGAAATGAGGGGACGCAGGGGGAGAAATGAGGGGACGCAGGGGGAGAAATGAGGGGACGCAGGGGGAGAAATGAGGGGACGCAGGGGGAGAAATGAGGGGACGCAGGGGGAGAAATGAGGGGACGCAGGGGGAGAAATGAGGGGACGCAGGGGGAGAAATGAGGGGACGCAGGGGGAGAAATGAGGGGACGCAGGGGGAGAAATGAGGGGACGCAGGGGGAGAAATGAGGGGACGCAGGGGGAGAAATGAGGGGACGCAGGGGGAGAAATGAGGGGACGCAGGGGGAGAAATGAGGGGACGCAGGGGGAGAAATGAGGGGACGCAGGGGGAGAAATGAGGGGACGCAGGGGAGAAATGAGGGGACGCAGGGGGAGAAATGAGGGGACGCAGGGGGAGAAATGAGGGGACGCAGGGGGAGAAATGAGGGGACGCAGGGGGAGAAATGAGGGGACGCAGGGGGAGAAATGAGGGGACGCAGGGGGAGAAATGAGGGGACGCAGGGGGAGAAATGAGGGGACGCAGGGGGAGAAATGAGGGGACGCAGGGGGAGAAATGAGGGGACGCAGGGGGAGAAATGAGGGGACGCAGGGGGAGAAATGAGGGGACGCAGGGGGAGAAATGAGGGGACGCAGGGGGAGAAATGAGGTGACGCAGGGGGAGAAATGAGGGGACGCAGGGGGAGAAATGAGGGGACGCAGGGGGAGAAATGAGGGGACACAGGGGGAGAAATGAGGGGACGCAGGGGGAGAAATGAGGGGACGCAGGGGGAGAAATGAGGGGACGCAGGGGGAGAAATGAGGGGACGCAGGGGGAGAAATGAGGGGACGCAGGGGGAGAAATGAGGGGACACAGGGGGAGAAATGAGGGGACGCAGGGGGAGAAATGAGGGGACGCAGGGGGAGAAATGAGGGGACGCAGGGGGAGAAATGAGGGGACGCAGGGGGAGAAATGAGGGGACGCAGGGGGAGAAACGAGGGGACGCAGGGGGAGAAATGAGGGGACGCAGGGGGAGAAATGAGGGGACGCAGGGGGAGAAATGAGGGGACGCAGGGGGAGAAATGAGGGGACGCAGGGGGAGAAATGAGGGGACGCAGGGGGAGAAATGAGGGGACGCAGGGGGAGAAATGAGGGGACGCAGGGGGAGAAATGAGGGGACGCAGGGGGAGAAATGAGGGGACGCAGGGGGAGAAATGAGGGGACGCAGGGGGAGAAATGAGGGGACGCAGGGGGAGAAATGAGGGGACGCAGGGGGAGAAATGAGGGGACGCAGGGGGAGAAATGAGGGGACGCAGGGGGAGAAATGAGGGGACGCAGGGGGAGAAATGAGGGGACGCAGGGGGAGAAATGAGGTGACGCAGGGGGAGAAATGAGGGGACGCAGGGGGAGAAATGAGGGGACGCAGGGGGAGAAATGAGGGGACGCAGGGGGAGAAATGAGGGGACACAGGGGGAGAAATGAGGGGACGCAGGGGGAGAAATGAGGGGACGCAGGGGGAGAAATGAGGGGACGCAGGGGGAGAAATGAGGGGACGCAGGGGGAGAAATGAGGGGACACAGGGGGAGAAATGAGGGGACGCAGGGGGAGAAATGAGGGGACGCAGGGGGAGAAATGAGGGGACGCAGGGGGAGAAATGAGGGGACGCAGGGGGAGAAATGAGGGGAAGCAGGGGCGGAAACGAGGGGAAGCAAGGGAGGAAAGGTAGGACAGAGAGGAAGGGAGGAGGTGCGGAAGAGAGGAAGGGAGCAATGGAGGAGATTGGACGAGGGAGGGAACCAGGGACTAGCAGGGAGGGAATAGGGGGCTAACAGGGGGAAAGCAAGTGGCTAGCGAGGGGGTGGACAAGAGTTGAAGAGGGATAGGAGAAGGAGAGGAAAAAGGAAAAGGGGGAGGAGGAGAAGGAGGAGATAGGAAGAGGGGGAGGAGGAGAAAAAGGGAGAGAAGGATTTGGGGGGATAGGGAAGATGGGAGAGGGAAGGGAGGAGATTGGAAGAGGGAGGAGAGGGATTGGAAGAGGGAGGAGAGGGAATGGAGGAGATTGGAAGAGGGAGGAGAGGCAAGGGACGGGCGTAAGGCGGTGGAGAGGAACAGGGCAAGCAGCGGGGGAAAATGAAGGAAATGAGAGGGAGAAATTAGGGGAAGGAGAGGGCTGGAAAGGAGGGGAAGCAGGGGCGGAAGGGAGGGGAAGCAGGGGCGTAAAGGAGGGGAAGCAGGGGCGGAAAGGAGGGGAAGCAGGAACGGAAAGGAGGGGAAGCAGGGGCGGAAAGGAGGGGAAGCAGGGGGGGAAAGGAGGGGAAGCAAGTGGGAAAAGGAGGGGAAGCAGGGGGAAAAAGGAGGGGAAGCAGGGGGGTAAAGGAGGGGAAGCAAGGGGGGAAAGGAGGGGAAGCAGGGGGGGAAAGGAGGGGAAGCAGGGGGGGAAAGGAGGAGAAGCAAGGGCGGAAAGGAGGGGGAGCGAGGGCGGAAAGGAGGGGAAGCAAGGGGGGGAAGGAGGGGAATCAGGGGAATCCGCGCCTCATCCCCTTCCGCGCTTCATCCACTTCCGCGCCTCATCCACTTCCGCGCCTCATCCACTTCCGCGCCTCATCCACTTCCGCGGCTCATCCACTTGCGCGCCTCATCCCCTTCCAAGCAACCCAGGAGCGCGCGCTGCTCGTCGCCTGGTACGCGCGCTGCGCGTCGCCCGGAGCTCGCGCTGCGAGTCGCAGGGAGCGCGTGCTGCTAGACGCCCGGAGCGGGTGCTGTTCGTCGCCGGTTGCGCGTGCTTCGTGTAGCGAGATGCGCGCACCTATACCCTCGACCGGTGCGCAGTCCGCTCCTTCGCCCGGTGAGCGCTCTGGTCCCCGCCCGAAGGGACCCTACAGCGTGGGCTCTCTTCTATCTGCAGGGTTCTAGAATGTCGTCACGCCCGTACTACAGCTAGCATTCTTTGGGGTGACTAGTTCCTACGGTCTTACCGTACTCTACAGAATGACAATTTCCGTCTCCAACACGTCCTTAGCACGTGTGCGTCGCTCTGTTTTTCTATATCCCGTTAGCATCGAGATGAAATAGCGGGGAGGCAACGTGCAGTGCAGGCAGACTTCGTCAGTCGGAGGAGTGACCATTTGTGTGAAACCTCCTTCATGCGACACACTTTTCGCATTGGGTTGGTGAGAATCGCAGATTGGGTGTGTGCGAAATTTTTAATTGCTCGCGGAGGAAACTTGATCTCGCCAAAGCAACACAACCAAAATAGGTTTCGCACACCTTCGTTTTGTACTATTTCAACCTCACATAACTTGAAAATTTACCATGCTGACCCCGGGTTTTAATCATGTGAGGAAAAAGTAATCATACCTAGTGTCCCATCTTGCCATACATACATCCCCTTTCATATTGATAGATAATAAAGGACAGCTACCACCTATTTAAACTCCTGAGTCTATCAGCGGAAAGAGTTTTGAGAAAATAACCATGGAATTGATCATGCCAGACAAGTGGGGGAAGACCAAACAATGCTGGAGGTCGCCACACTAGGGTTGCCGAAAGCATTGGCCCTATGCAGGTCATAATAGCACCGCAGTCTTCTCATCCCTCCAGGCAGCACGTGGCCTCCCTGGCTACTTCGTATTTTTATCAGCACAAGCCTTCGTGCTTACTCTTTCTCCTGCACGTCCTTTGCATCGGGGTCGCTGGCCTCTTTCACAGCCTCTTGGAGTTGATTCACTATTTTCTCTGCTTCAGCATCTATGTCCAACGCTTTCAGCTTCCCAAACGGACGCGGCATGGACTGCATACAACGCACATCATGATCGGATCGTAGTGAAAGCGTTAGAAGAGTGACACAAACACAAACTTCTAAACACGTGAAATTGCCTTGTGAAACACAGGTGAGGTCATTGAGCAGCAAGTGGGTCAAGAGAAGGCGGCATCAGAATGGAGAGATGCTATGACAACGAGAGAGGGGGAGGGGGAGGGGGGGGGGGAGAGAGAGAGAGAGAGAGAGAGAGAGAGAGAGAGAGAGAGAGAGAGAGAGAGAGAGAGAGAGAGAGAGAGAGAGAGAGGAGGGAGAGCAGCTCACCAGAAGGGAGATGAACGTGGATGAACCGTCAGCCAGTCGCACCTCAAAGCACCCTTTCCGAGGCTGATCGGACATGAGCAAGCACCAAGATACAATGCAGCACCGAGGTATCAAATCAGAAGCAACGTCAACAAGCGTCAGCACTGAATTCCTTCTTGAAGCCAACGAGCGGTTGTCAGCATCGGTTCGTCACGCGGCCCACCTTTTCCGGGTTGATGGAGACGGTCACGTCTGGCAGCGCTACCTTTATCAGCTTCTCCAGCTTCGCCGCGCGCGTCTTGAACGCTCCTCAGGACTTGCTGCAGGTTTGACGGAGATAAGTATAATAAATTAAGCTTTCTCACCAGTCGACAAATACAGGCACACGCGATATATATAAAAAACGATACTCTTCATCTGCAGGCTACACATGGAAAAAATAGCTACACATGGAAAGGCGAAAAGAGTAAGTACCAGGCTTCGATTATCAAAGTTCTCGCATTCCCAGCATCGCCGCTTGCCGCTTCGACGGCGACCGCAACAGCCTCCTTCGCAGCGCGTGCTCTCGTGGTGGCTGGCTTCTTAGCCGGCGCTGCGCTTGCACCTGCCTTCCTCTTCTTGGGAGCCATAGCAACGAGTATCGCTTCGCAAAACACCAGCTGACAATCAAATGTTGTGGTTCATGTGTGTGATGTCTGTACCTCTGGTCTCCCTCCCACCACCAGTACAGCTTGCTGTGGTTGGGTGGTGTGAAAGAGAGGGAGGGGGGGGGGGTAAGAAGTGGGAAAGAGGGGTGGATGTGATGACGAACAGCTGCGACGGGTAGCGAAAGGTCTATGACTCAGCTGTCAGTTCATCACGATGGTTGGCGAGAAAAGGGAATCGATACCAGCTCCGGTACTCGATTGTAGTCTCCGCATTTGAACATTCAGCTTCGCTATTAGCTGAATGGAAACTGCAAGAAACATTTCTACTGCAAAAACAGCCAGGCCTAACTCGCGAAAACCTCCGCACAACCCTCGAAACCAAACACCAAAATCCCCAATTTTGAGCACTTACCAAACTCCACTCGAACCATTCCCGCGACGCCTCCCCTACACATACCCGCGACTCCCGCACCGCGATTGCCCTCCTTCCAGCAACCGCCAATATCCACGAAGTGTCAGCGGCGAGAAGCGCGCACGCCCGTTGTTTAGCTATGCGAGGGTCGGGCATGGCAGCGGCAGTGCCTGCCAACGCGTACCGCTTCTGCTGCCTGTGCGGCACGCTGCTGGACATGCCCTCGGTCGGTAGCGTCGCGCAGTGCGCTCTCTGCGCCACGCCCCAGAACCTACGAGGTGCTCGCGCTTCTTTCTATAGTCTTGAGTTCTCGTCCGTTTCCCCTCCCTCCATTTCGTGTCTCGTCTCGTCTCGTCTCGTCTCGTCTCGTCTCGTCTCGTCTCGCCTCGTCTCGCTTCGCCCTCGCCTGCCTCTTCCCTCCTCCGCTGCTCCTTCCCCTCCCAATATCCCGTGATTCCATGTGCTCACCGCACGTGATCCGCCCTCCGCGTTGATCAGCTGTCAAAATCATGCGCCCCGCATCCCCTCTTCCCCTCCCCAGATTGGCCGTCGCTTGGCGTGACCACAACCAGCGGTCCGCAGGTACGTGCGCTGCTGTGCCGAGATAGGTGTATTTTCTTGGGGGTAAGAACTGTCGTGTTTTGCGTGCTTCTCCCGCACTCCAGGTTGCTTATCCTGAAACCACCTCCCGCCTCTGCATTCCCCCACGTTAACTCAACTTCACCTCTTCCCGCGCCCACCTTCCCCTACACGCCCTCCGCTCTGCGCGGACGGCGCATTTCCCTGCAAACTTCGCATGCGTATGTGCGGAATGGGCGCGTGTGGCGCGTGGGCGTGTGCGGGGACGCGCAGGACTTGATGCGGCGGTATGGCGTGGACCCCATCGTGCCACTGGACTCGGACATGGGCGGCGGGGCCAGCAAGGAGAGCATCAAGGAGCGCGCCAAGGTGGGGACGGCAGGGAAGGGTGGGCAGGGAGGGAAGGAGAGAGGGAGAGGGAGAGGGAGAGGGAGAGGGAGAGGGAGAGGGAGAGGGAGGGTGGGTGTGCAAGACATGCTGCCATACACGCTGCAGCGTCAATGCCTGTAGACGACTCGCCTGCTGTGCTGCTCCCGCCCCCGTCTCTCCCACACACATCCCCTACAAACTGAACCCTCCAACCCCTTAAACGTTTGGGTGTGTACGATAATGCCTTACAATGGTGCTGATCCCTCTGCACCTTTATTATCCACCCCCCTTTGGGTTCGCCTACGCGGCTGGTGTGCTCTGTGTGCCGTCTGTGCCCTCTGTTTCCATCCTCTGTGCCTTCAGGTGAATGAGACGTGTCCCAAGTGTGGCAACAAGGAAATGGAGTATTACACCATGCAGGTATGCACGCACCACCCTGCTACCCTGCCTCCCTCGCCACTCTCCTCACACATACCTATCACACATCTGTATCTTCCTCACCAGTCCCTAACCTTGCCCATTCACCTCCCCACTTACAACTCACATCGTACTGTCAAGGTGTTCCCTTTCCACATGTGCTGCAAAATCTACTCCTATTCCTGCTTCCACATACGCACCCTTTCCCCTTTTGGGTGGCAGTTGCGGTCAGCGGATGAAGGGCAAACAGTGTTCTACGAGTGCACCAAGTGCAAATACAAGTACAGCCTCAACACATGACTTCAAACCCAAACAGCAATGCTGCTGTTTGCTGCACATCACAAGGCACAAGGCCTGCTGTTTCATACAATGTCACAAGGCCTGCTGTAAATCAAGACTTCCCACACTGAAGTTACAGTTAAAAACAAGCAACAACTTCAGGTAGTATCACGCTGCTATATAATAACTATTCTGGGTGACCAGATACTGTAGTCGGAATCATGACATGGAAAATGCTATGCTGCCCACATACCTAGAACAGTACCGACCCCTCCCTCGGTCTAAATGCCTTTCAAGCACCCAAATGCACCTCCTCTCATTTCATACTAAGCCAGTGGTATAAGCTACCCCTTTCAATGTGCTAGGAGAAGATAGGTATATCATCCTTCAGTCGAACAAAAACCCCAGACAAGGTACTGGGGCAACATAACCAGCACACCCTGTCATTCCAGCAAGCATGCAGTGCAGCGGCTGCAGGGCAGATGTGCTCGAAGGGAAAGCAGAGCAACACAGCAGGCAGGCAGGCTAAGAGGAGGTGGTGGATCGGGGCATGCTAGTGCCCCCTCCTCGTCTCATCCCCCCTTGCGAGAGCCCCCCCGTCTGCTTTGAAATCCGTGGCATCGCCACAAACGCCCTCTGCCCCGGCCGTGCCCCAGGCCCAGCCCTCTCCCCCCCATGCCCCTGCCCTCCTCCCTCTCCCGCTCCTGCATGCCCCCCTCCCCCTGCCCCGCCCATGCCGCCCATGCTCTGAGGCGCTGCAACTGACATGCCGCGGACCATACTAGACCGCACCCCCATCCCTCCACCTCCTCCCCCTGCCGCCGGGCCCCCTGCCCCTGCCTCTGCCGCTGCAGCTACAGCAGCGGTGGCAGCGGCGGCGGCAGCAGCTGCAGCTGCATCGGATTGGTGCTGGCAGGAGGAGCAGACCCAGCGCTGCGCATAGTGGCCTGATCGGTCCACCACCATTTTGCTGCCCCCGCACCGCCCACACACCACCTTCTTGCACGTCACACACTCAAAGCGCCGCTCTCCCACTGTGAAGTGCCGCTTGCATGCTCCTGCACACACCGACACCTGAGGGAGTGGGGGATATGGGACGATGGGGAGAGGGGCAGAGAACCAGGGGGCGAGGATGCAGGGAGATGGCGTGTTATACAAGGGTCTGAAATGGATGGCGAGGGAGGGAGGCTGGGAAGAAAGGAGTGAAGGATGGAGGGAGGGAGGGGCGGACGGACGGCGGGCGCAATGAGCAAGAGGGGGCAAAAAACGAGGGAGTAGAGCAGAGTAGGAGCACTCACCTGCGCATCATGCAGCACAATGTTTTCCGCATCACCATCGGGAATGGCCCAGCATGCAATGTGGCCTGCAATGTCCCCCGAGAACAGCTGGCGCAGCTCCGGGGTGAGGAAGAGCGCAGTGACGGCCTCCTTGTGCCACACGAGCTCGCGGCACAGCACGAGCTTCCACTCAGGGTCCACGCGAGACATGAACGTGCCGGGAACCAGCACCTTCCTTCTTTGCCTGCCACTGCCCGAGAGATGTTCACGGCCTGGCACCACTGCCAACTGATTGTGCAGCTGCTGCTGCTGCTGCTGCTGTGTGGTTCCTGCTGCTGCATCTCCGTTTGCCTGCCTGCCACCCTCGTCCTTGTCCCCCTGCTCCTGCTGCTCCTTGTCTTCCGGGTTCGTCTGCTGAACACTCACCCCACTCGTTCCACTTCCCGACTCCTTGAAGCTGCCGCCATATCCGCTGCCGCTGATGCTGCCACTACCACTGACAGTCTCATGCTCTGCCCTCTTCACAGACACATTCGCCGGCACACACCAGTCCATGCACCACATCTTGATGCTCCCGTTCCTGTGCCCCGTCAGGAACCACCCCGTGTCCATCCAATCCGAGTGCGACGGCGTGGTCACACACGTGATAGCCTCCAGCATGGAGTGTGAAGTGTTCACCTTGGCCAGGCAGTCCCCATTCACCGTCCACACACTCAGCAGAGTTCCTGCACCCACCACCACATCCCCTGTGCTGTCGCTCACATAGACTACAGACACCGGCGCAGGCATCACCGGAAGCTGCCGGACAAAATTCAGTGAGTTGAGATCCCAGAGGATCACCGTGTGGTCGCTCGACCCAGTCACTACAAGCCCCCACGCTTGGCTCATGGCCAGGGACGTCACAGCCTGAGTGTGCGCGCACAAACGCCGCAGCAGCTGCAGCTGCCGCTGCGCCTGCGCCTGCTGCTGCTGCGCCTGCCCGGGTTGGCTCTGGGACTGCGACGGAGCGCCCCGGCCCGGAGGCCCATCCCCAAGAGACCTCCAGATCGCCACCACTCCATCCGACCCTCCTGTTGCGATAAACGTGCCGTCACGGCTCACAGCAGCACACTGAATCGGCCCGTTGTCATGTAGCGCCTCGTGCGTGGCCAGCAGCTTATCCTGATCCGTGGAAACCACTCTCAGGCTCCCATCCGGGAACCCCCAGAGCAACCGCCGATCATTCGACGTGCCCTTGATCAGCGAGTTACCCACAAGCACTCCCACCTTATCCTTCACCATGAGAATCTGTGTCACCATCTGGCGCACATTCCTTGACTCCTCCATCTGAACGAGATCGTGGTAGCGCAGGCAGTTGACGAGCGGGGGCCGCTGGTGGGTCTCGCGCTTGGGGTGTGGTTTTAAAAAGAGCTGGCGTGGCGTCTGGCCGAAGTTGTTGATCTGCGCGAGGATGGAGGCCTTGGTGGAGGGGTCGGTGATGGCGTCTATGTTGACTGAGCCCTCGTATGTGAGGTAGAAGAACACGTTCACTGCCTCCACTGACGCCTGTTGTGGGGGGGAAGGGGGAGGGGCAGGGGGAAGGGGAGGGGCAGGGGGAGGGGGAGGGGGAGGGGGGGATCGAGGGATGAAGGATGAGGGATGGGAATTGGGAGTGGGGGATGGGGAAGGGGGATGGGAGATGGGAATGGGGATTGGGGTTGTATGGAGGAGGGTTGCCATGGGAGCCGGGAGCAACAACCAAAAGCACCATCCCGTGAAAAAATGAGGGGATGGTGAACAGTGCTCACTAGAGACACGTCCAACGTTCACTGAACACTCATTGTATGCAACCAGTGTGCACGATCAAAAGAGCACATTGGTACAAGTAGGTGTGGGAGCAACAGGTGGTAGGGAGAGAACTAAAGACGAGGAGAGAAGAGGAGAGGTAATAGGAGGGGGCCAGGTGGAGGGGAGGCACGGACGGGGCCTTGCTGCTTGTAGCCGAAGATGAGGTCGATCCACTCGTTGAGGTGCTCCGACACATAGGGCGACTCCAGCGCCTCCCTGTGCTTGCGGATAAACTCCTCGGGACTGCCGTTGGCCCATGGCGGCAGGATCACGTTGTCCACCTGGCGGCATGAGGTTGGGGATGGGGTTGGGGGATGGGAGGTGGGAGGCGCGGGTGTTTGAGAATGATAAAAAACCACGGCGGCAGTATTGCGTTGTGCACGTGGTGGCATGGGGTTGGGGATGGGGAGGGGCAAGTACAGATGACCTTTGAGACGTGTCAAGAGTTCTCACGTTGTGTATGTGGTGCCATGGGGTTGGGAGGAGAGGGACGAGCACAGGTGCACAGTGAAGCAAGTGGGGAAGAAGTTGAGAGGGAGGTGAGGAGGGAGGTGGGGAGGGAAGTGGGGACGGAGGTGGGGAGGGAGATGGGGAGGTGGGGAGGGAGATGGGAGGTGGGGAGGGAGGTGGACATGCGAGAGACACACCACACACCCACACCCTCAGACACACCAACACTCCCACAGAGACACACCACACACCCAAACCAACATCCACACCCACACCCCCAATCTCAACCCCACCCCCATCCCCACCCACACCCCCACCCACTCACCCCTTCCCCGCTCTGCTTGACACCCAAATCCAGATTAAACCGGTTCTCCAAAAACGTGGGCACATAATAAAACTCGGGCGTGAGCTCTTTGACATCGGCCGTGTGGCCCGTGCTGGCGCTCTTCCACGTCTCCTGGATGGAGTAGAACATGCGGTCCGCGTGGTCAAAGTGCCCGCCCTGCAGCTGCATGTTCTGCCGCGAGAACGGCGGCAGGCGCATCAGGTAGTAGAGCACCGTGCCCGCACTCGAGTAGTGCGACCCGTAGTGGAACCGCGGGATGTCCGGGTCGTCCCACGTGTTGTACCTGGCGTGTGTGGCAGGGGGATGGTTGGGGATGGGTGGGGAGGGGTGGGGAGGGGTGCGGGGAAAGGAGAGCGGGGAGGGGAGGGGGTGGTGGGTGGGCGGGGGCAAAGGGGGTTGGAGGTGGGGAGAAGGGGTTTGGGAGCACATGTTAGTGGAAGCACGGGATATTTGGGTCGTCCCATGTGTTGTACCTGGCATGTGTGCGGTGGGGGGATGGTGGGGGAGGGTTGGGTGGTGGGTGGGTGGGTGGGTGGGTCACAATGTGTGTCTGCGTGCGGCTGTTGGAGGCTTGACTGGCTGACGACTGTCAAGAGGATGGCTGATGACTGTAACGAGAGAGGACACTCTACCACACGCACGCCCTTGACAGATTGTGTTCACACACATGTGCACAACAACCAACCGTCAAACCCCGATTCCCTCCAGGCAAGCAAGTCGCCCCCCCACGCCCCCCCTTCCCCCCCCCCCCCCACCCCCCCACGCACCTGCGCACAAACTCCTTCTCCCGCTCCGCAGTGATACACCCCATGGGCTTATTCAACGGGCGGAAAGAGGTGGGATCGCTCAGGTCGAGCTCCTGACTGAGGTAATCCGCGAGCACCCAGGGGAAGACGGGGTACTGTGTGAGGTCGTTGTACCCGCGCCCAGCGAGTGTGTTGAGGTGCATGAGGTAGTGGAAGTTGCTGATCTCGCCCGCCTGCCACCGCTTGCCCAGCGATTTCGCCATCATCTTGAACAGCCGGTGTGGCTCCGCTGCCTCTGTGGCGTTCGATATCGTGGAGTCCAGCCTGGTGGGCGGGGTGGCGAAGTGGGGGGGGTGTGAGCAAGAGTGGGGAAGAAAGGGGGGTGAGGGTGAATTTTGAGATGTCTCCGAAACAGCTGGTGCGGCGCTGCTGCTGCCTCAGTGGCGTTTAATATTATAAACTCCAGCCTGTCGAGTAGGGTGGGAAAGGGGGGAGGGAGGGGTGGGACGAGGGGGGAAAAAGAGGAGGGTGAGAGGCAGTGGGTCAATAGAGAAGGCATTGAGAATTGGCTCTGCAGGTCGACTGGCAACAACTGGAAATCCTCACCAGATGACTGCCAACCAACACTACAACCTACTCACAGGCTGTTCCTAGGGAGGTTCATGGCCTGCAGGTTCTTGAAGCACTCGTCACGCTCATTGAGGTGGAAGACGAGCAGCTCGTTGTTGCCCGACATGGAGAACAGCTCTATGGCCACGGGCCGCAGCTGGTAGCGCCGCTTCAGCACCTCATGCACCTCCTCGTGCTTCCACTTCTTGCACTCGTGCGACAGTACCGCCTCCTCCGCTGCCGCCTCCTCATCCTCCTCCCCTTCTCCTGCCAATTCCCCCGAGTTCTCCCCCCCGCCGCCGCCCGTCGCTCGCCACGCTGCGACCGTCTCCGCCCACCCACCAACTAGACCCACTCCATGCCTCTTCATGGGATTCGCCCCGCACGCTGCTGCGGTGAACCCTGACGGCTTCCCCGGCTTCATCCCCAGCGCCTGATCCAGCACAGACACCGTCCCTTCAGCCTCCTTCTCCCGGAACCTCCCAGTGCTGTCGATAAAGTAGTTGTCAATCACATACAGGCACTGCTCGCCTATGAGGAAAATCCCATCGCGCTTATCCAGCCCAACCACACGGTCGCAGTTATACCGGAACCGGATTCGCTCCCCGGGTTCCAAGTGCGGGCGAATCAGATACTCCCCGTCGTCGCTCTCTGCGCCTCCCCCTGCTCCGCCTCGCAGGCAGTCAGCACCCAGGTCATACCCCATGCGCTTGCTGCTGCTGCGCGATGCAGGGTCTGCACTGCTGCTGCCGCCACTGCTGCTCGCCTCTATCCCCCGCCCTGCAACCGGCCCGCTTGCACCAGAACTAGCACTTGCACTGCCGCTCAGCCTCCCGGATTTCGCTGCATTGGGCTTGGAGCCATCAATCGCACCACCTGTTGCTGCACCCCCCTGTCCCTCGGTCTTCCCAGCTTCCTCCGCAGCGTCGCTCTGCTCCTCCGCCTCCTCCTCGGCCAATGCTTCCATATGTGAAGCAACAAGGTCCGCCAGGCTACCACCCTCATCATCCAAATCAACCATGGTGGAGTGGGCGCGGTATATGCGAGGAGGGGTACCATCACTCACTGACAGCTGCAGGTACGACTCCTTGCCCCCCTCCTCCTTGCCCTTCCCACCCCCCGCCGCTTCTTCCTCTTCCTTTGCCGCTCCTTCCCCGTCCTTCTCCCTGCCTTTCCCCTCCGCATCCCCAGCACCGTCCTCTGCTGCCGGCTTGCTGCTCTCAGCCTTGCTGCTCTCCCTGCTGCGTCTCTCCGCCTCCCTGGCCTCCTCCTCCGCTCCTTCCACAATGGGAATCGGCTCCGGCTCAATGCACGTGACGCACTGCTTCTGTCGCAAGTCTACCTGCACCTTGCTCCTTCTCATCTTCTTCCTCATGCGGAACGGCCCCTCAGTCGAGCACAGCTGCCACTGCAACGTCCCCGCTCCCTCCTCCTCTCCCTCCGTCTCGTCCCCACCTTCGCCCTCCTTCTCCGCCCCTTCCTCGCCCCACTTGGACCTCTGCTTCGTATCCAGCCCCCCGGGCCAAGCCGGCCAGATCCCTCTCTCATGCACCAGCTGCTGCAGATGCCCCTGCCACTCCCTCTCCGCCTGCAACACCCACCCAAACTTATCCTGCCGCCGGACCAGCAACTCCTTGGCAATCCCAAACCGCACCTTCTCAGCTGTCCCAACATTCCCTCCCTGCTGCTCCTCATACCTCGCCATGGACCTCAGGCTGTCCCTCGCCCGCCGCTGCGCCTCCTTCCGCCGCCTCACCTCCAGCACCTTCACTCTGCCGTCAGCAGCACGAGCAGCAGCAAGCACAGCGTCGCGCCAGGCAGGAGTGGCCTTCTGCCCGAGCACCTCCACCACCAGCGCCTGGGACCCCACCAGCCAGTGCACCAGAGACGCCTCTCCGTTCTGCAGCACTGTGTCAAACCCCCCATGGAACAAATCCACCACATCGCCTCTCGGCGTGCGAAAGGTGAGTAGGTCCTCTAGCTCTTTAGCCCGGTGCGCCACCAGCACTTTCCACGCCTCTGCTGCTAACGCCACGTGCTGCTGCTGCTGCTGAATCAGCGACTCCCTCTCGTGCCCCGCTCCCCCACCCTGCTGCTGCTGCGGCAGCGACTGGGAGGGCGGCAGCTGGAGAATCATGTACGTGAGGTTATGGCACAGGCACGCGACCAGCTCTAAATCCACACTCACGCTCGACAGGATTATGCCGTGATTCGCAAGCAGCAGGTGCAGTGAATCTGATCGGTCCAGGCTGGGATCGAGAGCAGGGACCATGCGCCTCTCCCCCACCCACGGTTCTGCAGCATACGTGCCACTCGTTCGCACCGACCCTGTCAGTTCGTCCCCGTCCTCCCCGCTTGTCACAGCTCTCACCCCCACCATGTCTGAAGGCAGGAACGAGTACAGCACCAGCCGCCCACAGGCTTTAAGCAGCGCGAGAATGTACGGCTCCAGGAACGTGCCGCGAGTGCGGATGAGCAGCCCTCTTGTGGCCGGCTGGGCGTTTTCAATGAGCCCGTTGGTGTTGGCCGCTTGGAGCAGCTGCAGCATGAATTGCAGCACCTGCTTGCACGACTTCGGCCGGGCAAACGACCCGCAGAAAGCAGCATCCGCGAGTACAGGCGCCAGCGCCTCTAGATTCGGCCCCCAGCGTGCACGATCCAGTTTGCTGGCCTCTACACTGCTTGCAAGCAGACACCGCTCGAGCACCAGCAGCACGCGCTGCAGCCACTGCCCTGTGAAAACCGCTGCAACGTCAGCGGGAATATCCCCAGGCACGGCGTCCTGCACCGCATCTAGCAGCGGCGCACTCTTAGGGACCTCCAGAAGCGCCCCTGCCACCACCTCCCCGATTATATCCAGCACTATCCCTGCTGCTACCGCCGCCACGTTCCCTTTCATACTCTCTGCTTCTACGAGAAAGAGTGCCTCTGGGACGAGCGCTGTGAGCCCATCGGTGTGCTCGTCCACTGCCCCAAACATCTCCCCATCCAGCTTGCCGCTGCCCGTCTTCCCCAGAGAGGAAAACCCGCTAGATGCAATCTCGTCCGTCGATTCCCTCGCGCCGCCCAGCCATGTCATCATGGACGCAGCGGTGACGCTGAGGTGGCGCGCGAGGGGGGAGTTGTACGAAGGCGACCCGGACTGAGCTCCCAGTGGCCCTGCCTGCCCTGCCAGCCCTGGCTGTCCCATTTGGCCTCCTGTGTACCCCAACACTGAACCTGCACTGGCAGACGCTGAGATGGCAGGCCGGCTTGCAGTGCCCACAGCAGCATCTGCCGATCCAGACAGACGCACCCGAGCGCCCTTCCTATCCGCGTCAGCCCCATACACGGCCCGATTCCCCACCTCGTCTCTCTCATCCTCATCCTCCTCCTCCTCGCCCTGTCCCCCCTTCCACTCAACCCCTTCTTGGTCGTCCTCCCCGTCCCCCTCGTTGTCCCCGCCTGAAGCGATGGCTTCAAGGGACGCGGTGCGGGAGGCCTTGCGGGGAGGAGCACGGGATGGGGGGCGCGGGGAGGGGGCTTGTGTAGTGGCCTTGCGAGCCGCCTCCGCGCAGTGCCTGCGTACGTGGGATGTGGGGAGGTGGGTGAGAAGGTGGGGAGGTGGGGGTTGGGAAAGGAGGACGGGAGGGTTGACGATGAAGGACCCATAAAACTACCTCTACCAGTCCAGCAAACGCGAGGGAGCGTATGAGGGACGGGGGGAGCAGCACGTACCGCAGGCAAACAAAGAAGAGATCCAACAGGCCCTCAAGGCACTCGGGACGGCGAGTGGCAGCAGCCAGCGCAGTGGGCCCCGGGCAATGCACCCCATGCAGCCAGAACCGCAGCACACCCACCACCAGCGCCGCTGCCCCCTCCGCCCCTCGCTTCAACGGCTCTACAAGCGCCTGCCTCCCTCCTCCGCTCCAGTCCCCACTCTGACCCGCCCCAGCTCCCTCTTCTCCCCCCTCCGCTCCACCCTCCCCAGTATACCCGATAGGACTTGCAGCGACAGAGGGTTTCTTCTCGGCGCTCTCAGCGGGGACAGCAGAGAGCAACGCAGCGCGCAGCATGGCGAGGACGGAATCTAAGAGCTCCGGGAACAAGAGGTCCTCCCCTGGGCTCGCCTTGAGCGGCAGCAGCGCATGCAGGTCCAGCAGACGCACGTCGTCCCTGTCAGTGAGCGCGGGCTTTGGATCAGCACCAAAGAGCGCAGTGAAGAGCACAAGGAAGATGTCCGGCTTGCCGTGGTACGACGCGAGCACGCGCGACAGCGAGTAGAACCCCCCGGCCTGGCGGAACCGCGTGGCAAACTGCGTGGGCGAGCGCAGGGAATCCGCGAGCAGGATGAGAACACGCTCAAGGGAGGACTCATGCAGGTGGGGATCCAGCAGGAGAGTGGTGATCTTGGTGGCTACTGCCCTCTGCCACAGGTCCAGGCGTTCGTCTGTGGGAGTGAGGCCCAGGCGCAGCTGCAGCTGAATGAGCATCTCTAGGAGAGCGTTGCGCGTGGCTACGTGACGCCCGTAGGGTTCTCGAGCTGCAAAGGAGCCGCTGTTGCAGGTGACTGGTGGTGCCCCTGATCCAGCATTGCCGCTGCTGCTGCTGCTCCTCCTCAATGACACCTCCCCTGCCCCGCCTGCTACCACCGCCCCTCCTGCTCCTGCTGCTGCTCCCGCTGCTGCCATCCCTCCTGCCCCTGCTGCAGCTCCCCCCTTGAACGTCATGAGGACGAAATCCGACACCTGCTTGGTCTCCGCAGGCAGGAACCCAGCTCCCAGCACGCCCCCCAGCACCCCCACAAGCTTCCTTATCACCTCCGGGTCCAGCTCCGTGTGCTGCAGCGCCAGCAGCAGGCGAGGCACCACGTCCAGGCGCCTGAGAAACGCAACATTGTGGCGGCGGAAGCGGCTGCGGGTGACAACGAGGTGAAGGAAGTCGAGGAGTTCGTGCTGCAGTTGCAGAGGGGCGATGGACCAAATGGTCCAGTCCAGCAGCACATGCACCACCAGCCCAGGGCTGCACAGCACCACCTCTGATGCCTCTGCTGCCTCGAAAGCCGCACACACAGCGGTCACAGCAACAGCAGAGGGGTCTGCTGCGAGAAGGAGAGACGAGGGCTTGTGGGTGGCGGGCGCGGCGAGCGAGAGCAGGAGGGAGAAAGACGCGGGGGTGACGAGGGGCATGCGCTGGTGCAGGAAGATGGCGAGCATGTGGTGCCCGCGCAGGCGCCGCATCTCCTCCTGGTTGCGGGGGTTCTCACGCAGGCACGATGTGAGGAGGGAGAGCGCGAGGTGCAGGCGCTCAGAGGTGTCTGCCATGTCAAGCAGAGCGAGCAGCACTGACATGCCGCCTATGACTCGCAGGCCATCTGCCACGCTGCTGGGGCAGCACAGCTGGATGTCGCCGAACAGAGCGGCCATCTTGGGACCTGGTGTACAGGGGAGAGGAGGGGAAGCAAAAGCAGGAGGGTGTGAGTGGATGGAGTGCTTGGGAGGTTCTTTGAAGCGATATAGTATGGAGGGCTGGATATGCAGGTGTCTGTGACAGCACGCGAGCGTAGGCATGCCTTCAGTCATGCTCCCATGCCACACACCTAGCGCACAGTGCGAAGCGCACAGCACACAGCACACAACACACAGCACCCAGCACACAGCTGACCTCCAAGGGACGAAGCAGAGCCATGGCTGAGGTCCACCAGATTCACCATGGTGCGCGCCAGAGACGCGGGGCACAGCTCGCCATTCTCCTCCAGCTCCACCGTGGACCCATCAAACTTGAAGATAATCTTCCTGCTCGCCACCGCCGCCGCCGCTGCTGTGGGCTTCTCTGCATCCCACACCACCGGGCACAGCTCGCCCTCGCCGGCCCTCGCAGCAGCAGCAGCCATGTCATGGAAGATCGACGAGTCGTCCCCTTTCACCCACAGCCCCGTCGGGATTCCCCCCTGCGCGGCCGCCTCTGCTTCGATCCGCTCCACCAGCAGCAGATTGCGAGCGTTGCTAGCCTCCAAAGGGAGGAACTGGCGAATAGCCGGGTCCTGGAACACCCCGCGGTACCCTCGGCCAAGCAGGTACATGAAGAGCACCGCAGAGGACGAGACGGCTTCCTCAAACAGCACGGTGGGGCCCAGCTGCCACGTGAGCGGACTCACACAGGCCGCCTCGCTGCCTGTCCCCAGAGTGACTCTCAGCAGCTTGCCTTGGGGCGATGGGGCGAAGGATAGCTTGCCGGTCTGCTGCAGCAGCCCGTCGATATAGAGCGAGGCGGAGTCCACATGGAAGAAACCCGAGAGGGCTGACGGCTGTCGGAACACCACAGTGATAAAGTGCCACGATCCCTCCTTCAGCTGCACGTTTGAGAACCGCACCTTGCTGCTGCTCGTGCCGCTGCTGCCGCCGCCGCTGCTGCTGCCACCAGACGCACTTCCAGTAACCGACCCGCCCCCACTCCCACTTCCACAAGTACCCGAGTTGGTGTTAGCAGCCAAGGTAAGAACCCCGTCCTCGTCAATAAAGAGCTCTGCGCAGCACTCATGAGGCTCTCCTGCCGGTGCCACAGTGAACACCTGCAACCGCCTGGCCCTGCCCAGCCTTCCGTTATCACTCCCACCCCGCTGCGACCCAAAGCTCAGCCTCGCCCGCACCTCACTCTCCTCGTCACTCTCCCCGTCGTCTGCATCGCTGCGCAACCCCGTGAACCGGAGCCAGCACGCGAAGGAGAACCCTCCAGCAGGGGGCCAGGGGCGCTCGCCTATGATGGCATGGGCGCCCGCATACCCCACGCGGCGCATGCTGAGGTCGGCAAAGGAGGAGACGGCTACGCTTTGCGCGGAGCCAGAGGAGGCGGCGGCCATGCGGCAGAGCATGCGCAGGAAACGCAGCCCCATGGGGTCGTGCGGCGCGTCTGCTGGCTGCCGTAGCCGCAACGCCATGAGCCGTAGCTCCGTGGGTGAGATTCTGAGAGGGTGGGGAGTTGAAGAGGGGGGAAGGATGAGAAAAAAGTGGGGAGACACGTGGGATGACGGATCGTTGACGAGCTGTGGTTGAGGAGAAAAGATGGAATGGAGACGACAGATGGTGCTAGGCTGCAGGAGAGAACCAGAGACGCACCTGAAGGTCCCAACGATTTCAACGGTCTGGAGAATGGTGTCGATGGTTCCTTCCACAAGGGTGTGCGACTTGTGAATGAAGAGCTCTAGCAGCACTTGCACCACGTCTGCCACACACACACACACACACACACAAGACACACAGCACAACGCACAAGAGCACAAACAGCACCGACAACTTGTCAACAGAAAAGGCAATAAAGCCATCAGCGGAAACAAAAGACAGGCTCCTCAAACGCCCGTCCCTCCACTGTTTACCCATTCCATTGCCGTAGCAAAATAGACTCCACGCCCCACATTGCTCCAACTCATCATACTAGCCACCAGCAAAACCAGACTCACGAATGCTACTGAGCGCCTCTGCATTGCGGGGCGAGAGCTTGGCGAGCACAAGCACGGCCGCCAGCAGTCGTTCCACCGTGGGGGTGGCGAGCAGATGAAGCGAGTCCAACAGCATCTGCACCACCACTGCATTGTGCACTGTCACGCCCTCCCTGTCCCGCACAACCCCCACCTCATCCACCACCCACTCACACGGCCCCCACGGGCTCCCACCCCCTCCTGCACCCCCACTCGCCCCTCCCCCAATGCTCTCCCTCCTCCCGGACCCCTTCCCTGACAGCCTCCCGGCTGACCCGCCCGCTTCACTCTCCAACCCCCTGTCGTCATGCCCCGAGTGCGGAGCAGCATGGGAGCCCTTCACAGGCGTGGGCGAGGGCGAGGAGGGTACGAGAACTTGAGGCAGGCTGGTGCTGCGAAGGGTCTCTGTGGCGAGATCCAGCAGGGAGCGAATCAGCCGCACGTCGTACGGCGGGGCGAGCAGCCCCGTGTGGGGCAGCTGGCGGGAGAACTCCTCTGGTTTGATCACTCGCCGCAGGGCCAGGCGGCCTGCGGGGTTGGCCCTCACTGCTCTCAGCAGCACGCTCAGAAGCGCGTCGACAAACTCAAACTTGAGCGCGAGGGGCGTTTCGCCTAGGTCAGCGAGCTGGGCTGCCTTGGACATCATCATCTGGTACCGCCCTGTCACTGGCGACCCCTTACCCACGCCTCCCACTGATAACGCCGACCCAGCAGCAGACGCAGCACCAGCTGCACCTGCCCCAGCTGCAGCAGCAGCCCCGGTAGATCCCTTCACAGGCGGCTTTCCAGCAGCAGCAGGAGCGGCAGGAGCAGCAGCAGCAGGCTTAGAAGCGCTGGGGTCAAGAGAGCTAGAGCCCTTGATGCTGGCGATGACAGCCAGGCCAAGGGAAAAGCCATCGACCTTAAGGAACGTCTCCTGCACTGCAGGGTTGGCGGAGAGCACGTGGGATAGCGTCCACAGCACCTCTGTGCGCGCTGCTATGTCCAGCCGCCACATCCTGCCTCCTGGCGACCCTGCCACTCCCCTCCGCGCCACCTGCACCAGCCCAGCCACCTCGTCCGGATTGGTCTGCAGGGACCGATGAGGGATAGTGGAAGGTTGAGGGTGGGAGGGGGTGCGGGAGGGGAGGAGATGAGAAACAGGGAAAGTGAGAGAAGCAGATGCAAAGCTTCAAAGTCTTCTTCTTCACATGCAACATCAGATTCCTTCAATGCCCCCAACCTCTTAAGTCGGTAACAGCACAGGGCAAAGGGCACAGGGCAAATCACCTGAGCCAAGTCCTCAGAAATGAGGATCGTGAGGAGGCGCAGAGCAAAAGGGCGGTGGCGGGAGGACGCGAGCAGCGGCAGCACCGTCTGCAGCCCACGCTTCTGCCTGAGGACCTTCTGGTTGGCCGGGCTGTGCGTCATAAGTGCCAACACACACTCCCACGCTGCCTGACATGTGGTTTCCTCATCAAAGAAATACGACTGCACTGCACCCATGCCGCCGCCCGGACCCATGCCGCCGATTGAATCGGACGAGAGACGCCGGCCCAAGGACGCGCGCATGGCGTCCATACGGCTCTTCATGACACGGGACATGGGCGGCTGGTTGTGCGGGTGGGGATGGGAGTGCGAGTAGTCACCGGAATCAGCAGAGGCAGGGAGAGAGAGATGAGAGGAGGAGGACGAGGAGGTTGACGAGGGCGACTGGGGGAAGGAACGGGAGGAGGCAGAGGAGGAGGGAGAGTCGGCCCCTCCTGCACCACCCTGTGTACCAGCACTACCACCACCACCAGCGAGAGAAGCAGCAGCTGAGGACTGCGGCATGAAGAAGACCGAGGGGACGGACCCATCAGCAAGCACAGGGGTCGACTCTGGAGGCGAGCACTTCCTAAGGTCCGTGACAAGGATATCCACGAGCCCCACGTCCCGCAGCACCTCCACAAAGTTCTGCTCAAACGACAGCAGCTTGTTGAAGAAGATGAGCGCAGAGCGGGAGAGAGACGTCGGCACGGGCTTCTGTAGCTCAATGCAGAGCGCTAGAAGCTCCTGCTCTGGGACTATGTTGAGTACAATGACTGTGTATTCCAGGACCTTGAGCAGCTGCTCCTGCAGCATGCGCGGGTACTGGCCTATGTTGCGAATCAGCATCTGGAACGTCTTGAGCTCCTGGATAACCGAGTAGTTCTCTGGGAAGAACGCGTAGAGGTTCTGCAGGCGCTCCAGCACGAGAAGCTGCACGGGCAGCTGGTTCGTCTCCAGGAAGACGTTCTGCAGCACGAGCACCGCGTCGGGATCCCTCACTCGCAGGGACTCCAGTGACTTCACCTGCGCTCCTGGCAGGTTGGACAGGTCCTTCTGCCGGCCCGACGGGGACCGGAAGAACGGGCGGGTGCCGGTGGTGTGCAGCCGAGGAGGGTCGCCGCCAACAGTCTGAGCCATGGCCACAAGAGCATCGAGCAGCTTTACTAGAGAAGAGGGTACTGCTGGCTCTGCAGGCTTTACTGCCTCCTCTGGGCTCGACCCTCCTCGCTTCTCACTCCCTCCCTCCCCACCATCCTCCCCCTCGCCCGTTTCCCCTTTCTCTGGCTCCTCCCCCTTGTCCTCCCTTGCAGCTTCATCAGGGTCTGTGCCCGAGCCAGGGAGAGGGGCTAGCGGGGAGGGGGCGGGGGAGAGCGGGGGCTGCTGCAGGAGAGGGGAGGGCGAGTTGTGGAGCTGGGCGACGGGCGTGGGGTCAGCAGGTGTGTCAGCTGCGAAGGTGAGCTTGAGCACGAGCTGGCCCAGCCAGAAGTAGCCCCGCAGAGAGCGAAAATCCTCCTTCAGCTTCACAGGACCCGCGTCTGAATGCGGGAGAGCGGGGTATGGGAGGTGAGGAGAGTGTGTGTGTGAGTGGAGATAAACAGAGAGGTGCTGTGGTGGTGGAAGCATAGTTTTGGAGAGGATCGCAGTAAGGGAAGGTTACGGGCGTATGCGCAGAAATGTTGTGTGGGATGGGACCATGGGACATGCCTGGGCGGAAGGCGAGGCGCAGGCATTCAATGAGGGCGTTGACGAGCAGCAGCACATGGTGCGAGTCCCCCGAGTCCACCTCGTACTGTATCACCGCCTTGAGCAGCACCTCCAGCTGTGCACCGCACATGCCATGCACATGCACACACATGCACCCATGCACACATGCACCCGTGAATGCATGCATGCGAACATGCACACACGCACCCGTCAATGTATGCATGCATATATGCACACGTGCACCCATGCGCAAATGCACCCGCCACGCATGCACACATGCACAAGCACGCGTGCACGAGCGCGCGCGCGCGCGCGCACACACACACACACATGCACACCCATACGACAAGCATCCTTGCCAGTTAGCAAATTCTTAGTGGCTCCTGGATTGCCTACTCATTTTGTTGACACACCTCAAAACAAAGAGATTGGGAGTAACAGGAAGCAGTAAAACCGACCATTGAACTTACAAGGTTGTGGTTGTGGATATAGCGCGCCACACCACCAATGTCACTCGCCAGAGACAGCTCCAGAATCTGACAGGACGTGCATGAGGAGCATGGGGAAGAAAGAGGAAAGAGGTGACAGGAAAGAGGAGAGGAGACGCCACAGGATGAAGGACCGACCGACCGGCAATAATAGAGCACGAGCGAGCAGGTACCCACCCACGAATAGGGGGGGGGTGGGATTCCGCACTGGAGATTTCATGGAGACGAGTGAAAGTCACACCACACCATAACCCAGCACTCCACGCCACGGCACAGCAAGCACGCACCTCTGCTGCTGCATTGCGCAGCTTAGGATCGAGCTCGAGGTTGGCAGCAGCGGCGCCAGCAGCAGCGCCCGAGTAGTCGCCCATGTAGCTGAAGGAGGGGGAGAAGAGCCCGGCTGCAGCGCGGAACATCTTCTTGAGCGAGTCGTCCTCTATCAGACTCACGGCCGCCCCGCTGTGCACCGCCAGCCCCTTCATCAGCTCTATCACACGGTCCTGGTGTCACGGAGTTGGAGCCCGGGGGGCGGAGGTGGGGTGTGTGGGAGTGGCGTGGGGTATGGGAGAGAGTTGGGTTATGGAGAGAGAGGTGGGTTATGTGGAGAGAGGTGGGTTATGTGGAGAGAGGTGGGTTATGTGGAGAGAGGTGGGTTATAAGGGCAGAGTGTGTGAAAGTAGGGGTAGTGGGGGGAGTGGAGGGGAGGGAAGGAAACGGGAGTTGGATGGAGACGAGTCCAAGCAAGAGAAAGGATTGAATGCACTTTAACTGGTTCGTGTTTGCCTTCTGCAATGTATAAGGTAGTATTACCTGGGTACTCCTGAACTCGTTATCAACCTTCAACCCCACCACTGCACACCCCAACAGAACCCTTTCCCAAGGCCCCTCAGCGGAAACGTAAACACACACACCTCGACTTGTGTGCCACGAGGGTCGAGAGGCGGGTCGTCCTCTCCTAGGTCGTCAGCGCCGTTGAAGGACGCGGAGTCGTCGTCCGGCACACAGAACTCCGTGAATATGGACACCAGCATCGACAGCAGCCCCGCATCCAGCAGCCCCTGCACCTCCAGCGGCTGGCGGGAGGCGGGCGGGGGACGAGGGGGGATGGGGGGAGCGGGGAAGAGGGGGGATGGTGGGTGGGGGGGCGAAGAGGGGGGATGGGAGAGAGGGGAAGATGGCGAGAAAGTGTTGGGGCGGGAGGAGGGAGGAAACGCGCGGAATGATTGATTGATGGGGGGGGTGGACAGGAGAGGGGGTGAAAGAATTGGAGGACGGAAGAGTGGTGTCATGCAATACCAGGCCAGGTGGATGGACGGGAGGTACGCAGGAGACGGGGTTGTTGTGGGGCAGGGAAGAGGGCATTCACAGAGAGGTAACGAGTGCGTTGCGGTGGGAAGAAAGGAGGTAAGAGGGCTTACCGGGGAGACGAGATGCTCAAGGCTTCTGAACAGCACCGCGCCTGAGAGCTTGACATCCTCCTGTGCGCGCAGAGCAGAGTCGAACAGGGAGGGAGAGAGAGAACCAGCGCGGAATGCGGAATGAGTGACCGGATCGGACGGACGGACCAGCAATGCTCTCCCCCGCGATGTGCGTGTGGTGCGGTGTCAAGGGCTCTCAGCGACAGCACTTAGGCTAAGGCGCGCGCATTGCATTCACGTTCGCGTTCGCGTTCGCGTTCGCGTGCAACTCACCTGGTCGTCGTACGAGAGCAGCTCTATGATCTCCTTGCGCTGGAAGAAGCCCTTGGCGCCGCGCGCTCGCCGGCGCGTGTTAATCTCCTCGCAGAACAGCCGAGCCACCACAAACTGGAACGGCCGCACGTCCACAAGACTGGCGCACGCGCAACGCAGAGCGGGGGTCATGGATAGAATTTCGGGGAGCGCGGGTGGGTTGGGAGAGGGGGTGTGAGGGAGGGTAGGGGGGAGGAGCCGCGGGAAAGAGGGAGAGAGGGGAAGTAAAATAACGACCGTCACTAGGAACCTCTTAGCAGCACGTAAGGTATTGAAAATGAGAGTGATCGAGACCAGGCGCAAGGGCGACATGGGGCGAGGCGGGGGGGCGCGAGGCGAGGAAAAGCGGGTTGCGCGTGCGGTGCAGTGCAAGTACACTACTCACTAGTGGACGATCTCCGCGACGTGGTTCTTGTCGTCGAGCAGCTTGCAGAAGAGTCGGAGAGCCATCACCAAGGCAGTCATGCGCTCCTGTAACCACGGCGCGCACCACGAGGAGAAACACCCACAACACTCAGAACCGCTTGCTACTCGCTCATTGCTCGACGGCTCAGCTTTAAATCGTGGTTCGACTCTGAAGAATGTCAACGAAAGAAGAAGGGGGAGTGGGGCTGAGGGGAGAGGAGAGGGGGGGAGGAACGAGAGGATAGCTTACCCCTTCGGAGTGCGAGCTCCTGAACATCTCCCATAGCCTTCTGAAATCCGCGGCCCATTGCTCCTCCCTGCGAAGCGGAACCGAATATGACGTCAGCCAGACAGACCAGGAACCGAATTCGACATCGGGCAAACCCTAATGCGGATTTCTGGTGCGCTCAGATGATATGACCACATCATTAACTACGTCGGCGCGCGTAGCTCCGGACTAGAGCCGACGTGCGCTTCGCTGCATTGGCATTAGGTTTCGGGAGGCGGGCGCGGTAAGGCTAACACACCCATCCGACGAACACGGTCTCTAGCTAGAAACGTGAGGCTTCGGAAGGCGGACGAAACCTAGCCTGACCCGCTGCAGGATGAAGAAACGCTAAAAAAAGGTGAAGAAAAAAGACAATCGGGAGCTTTTAACCTACTCTTTTGTCAGTTCTTCGGGGCCGCCCAGCGAATCCCTACGTGTGGCTGTATCCACCCAGTCCCGCGCCGCCGATATGGCACTCGCCCAGCCTTGCATTGCGAACCCCTACCCTACGCCAGTTCGCCTTTCTGTTTACCCCAGCGCTACTTCCTCGCTGCTCCCAAGGGCAGATCGCAGCGCTGGGCCAGTGAGCGAGAGACGCCAGATGAGCTGGGCTGATACGCAGTGCAGCTGCTGGCTTTCACTGGTAGAGAGCTGGGCAAGATCGATATATCTGCGGATCCGACGGGAGGAGTGGGTTGAACATCACGGAAGAGATTGAGGAGTGGACCAGAAATGCAGAAGCGAGTTTAATGGACGGCTGCGATAGGATAGTCACGGTTCGTCCATATCGCACTTCAAACAGGGTCGACGAATTGTCCAGTCCCTTCGGAAACTGAAAAGACTGCCGAGTTTCCACCCATTGTATATTTTCACGCGTTTCGCAGCTTTTCAAGACAAAGAGAGCCGCCTAAGACAGTTATGGAATCAGAGGATGATGGAATCAGCGTGCGACCGTTGAAACGAGAGGAGAAAAGTGGTGCACGAGGCAAAACACTGGCTCAAGCTAAGGTATACATTCTGGATTGAGAGCGAACGACAGGTAAGGGAACCAAATGCAATGGAGGAACATTTTGTAACGACTCCAATGGGAACTGACGAACGAGCGAGAAAGGGCGGAGAGAGACATGATGACGACTTGGGGCCAAGAAGGGGGATGAGACGGAGGGAAAGGAAAGGAGGAGAGATAACGGGAATAACGGCGACGAGCGATGAATGCAGGTGGAAAGGAGACGATGAATGTGTGTATGTGCCAAGAGGAGGAGAGGCACACTGAAGCATCGCAAGGGAAAGTGCAAGAAATGAGCAAGCTGTAAGCAGAAAGTCTGTTCACCGAGTCTCATACGGATGCTATTAGTTACCTTGTTCACTGGTGCAATGGGGGAGTCCGTCCACACATAAATACTAACTAATCCACGGGGCCAGATTGTAATCAAGGAACTGGCCTTGCACTATAAACTGTAGCTGAGACGGACTAGGAAATATCAACCTTTCTAAATCCGAGATTTCCTCTCAAACGCCCATGAAGAGGAGACAAATGTTGCCTCCCACAGATCACGTGAAACATTGCAGGTTTCCATCCACATAGCCTTTTCCTTCCGCTCGCAATCACAGGATCCATGTAAGTCCTGATTCAGGGACCAAGGAACTGTTGGGTTTGTGTGGCGTGGCGGGAAGAGGGGAGGGGTGAGATGAGGGGAGGGAACGACTCGCACAAGAAGGACTGCTTGAGAGAATGGCTGACCTGAGCTGCCCGAACCTGGCCTGCCTAGGATCACGTGGGAGCAGAAACCAAGGGCGGAGCAGCAGGGCACGGCAGTCTCGAGGGTGTTGAGGGGGATACGGGTCTTCTTGAGTGAAGTGGAGTGGGAGGGCCCTGGTCTGGGCCCTCTGGAGACAATCAATGAACTGCCCAGTCAGCGCACGGCCACGTTGGCGCTTACTGCACTGTACTGTGCCACTCCCGGTCACTTCTGAAACTTTTCGCTCAGGTTGAGTCAGATCGGATGATGCAAAGTGATGGATCGAACGGCGGACAGGATACTGTAGGAAGCACCAGATTGGCCAAGCGGCGACAGGGGTGAGGTGAGATGTGCGCCAGTTGAGATCATCGACAAACACCCGCCAAACTCGGCCTGATTTCATGAAAGCTGCATCACCGAAATTATCTGACAGGTGGGCAAGCTCATCAAATATATGATATTTCACTTTAGCACTTAGTGTTGAATCTCAAATATATTCACCAATACGTAATGTACCATAGTGACTATCGAGCAGCTATACAAAATTACATCCCCTTTAGTCTACAACTAAATTGTTGACAAGTATTGACAGACAAAATTTCATGAATACTGGATACAATTTGGAAGCAAAACAAAGTTTTGTCAGATATATGGACAAAGTACCGGTATTCGTACTGTACATGCTCACTACATGCGAATGTAGGCTTTATGCATCCCTTGAGTTGTTTAGTGTGTTAGACATACTCAGGCTAAGAGATAAACCTATCTTCGTATCTACCATCGGACAGTCTACATACATCACGCATGCCAAGGATAGAGTATCTGTTGTTTGCAATGCCATCATACACCACATCCCGCAGTGGCCTGTGAAGCAATGCGTCAGGGAGAGGAAAGGAGAGGAGGTGAGTCAGGCAGAATGAAAACAGTAACTAACATCTCATACGGTAAGACTGGGCAAAACGGGAGACACGTAAACACGATCCCAGAGCATGCTAGGAGAAATTGACAGGTTCAAGCCATTACTTCGGTGCAAGTGCGGCGAGGAAGGCCAATGGGAGGTCAAGAAGGCGAGCAATCCTCAACACTGCGTCTGATTTTATGTAAGCCCTGGGTATAGGAGAGAGGGCGGACAGTGGGAAAACATGGGAGAGACAGACACGGTGAGTGCGTGTGGGCAGTGCTTAGCAAGAAGCAGGACAAAGAAGCAGTTGCTCTGGTTGTATGGGAAGACACACAGCAGTCATGGTGGCAACTCACCCATCCCTCTCGACCAGCACTATACTGCTGATGTCGTCTGGTGAACGTCCGGAACGAGCCAGCAATGCACGCCCAGCCTCGCTCTGCAAGGCCGCGAACCGGAGACGACTGAAACAGCGACAAAGGATGGGTTGGGAGTGGCGCAACATTAGGCATGGCATAGTTGGTTGAGGGGAGGGACGGGGCTGGGGCAGAAGAAAAGATTTATCAGACGGCACTACGATTGAGAGGAGCGTGAGGAAAATGTTGGCTGAGAAGCTAACACGGGGTTAGATTGCCATTGGAAGTTAAAAAGTGGTTGCTAAAAGTTGATCATGGATCATAACCTGCCACTGCTACCCGTGCACTCACCCCTGTGGATCTGCATCAAGGGCGAAATTGACCCCGCCGTTGCACATGTTGCACACGCCTGCTCAGGGAACGGAATAAGGCAGCGCGTGCATGAATAAGGCAGGGTATGGCAGGATGATTTTGATGAATTCGTGCACTTCCCAGCAGAGGAAAGGCGGCGTGTGGCGAGGAGCAGGTAGAGTTCATGAGCTACCAAACAAACGCATTCAATGACACGTCACGACTTGTTATCCGTAGCTGAGGGAAATCAATTGAGCGTTATCTCAATGTCACAGGAACAGCGAGCAGTCTAAAGGAAGTGCAAATAAGTTGGGAAGCCCAAGTACCATCGTAAAGCACGATGGGTCGGTCGTCCGTCGCGAAATGATCAACCAAGCCATTTTCCGTCGAGGTTTCGACGCTTTTGGCGGCAGCGGAAAGAGCGGTAACTCGCGAGCAGTGGAACTTCAGGCCACGTGACGACGGGTTGACGGCGTGCAGGATAGGGCGATTGTTGGAACGCAGAACGAGTGGAGTGGTCGAGGCTGGACAGAGACGAAATGAGGAATCTCCGGAATTCAATGCTGCCATGGACACGGATTCATGGAGACTCGGGCAGGGGCGGAGAGAACCAATCTGCGCGAGAGCCATGGCGAGAAGGCTGGTGGTGCTTTGAGTTCAGGAGCGGACGGGAGAACGGGAATGATGGTGTGAAATGGGAGTGGTGCTGTGTTGGTGGTTGGTGAGTGAGTGAAGTGAATCTAATGTACTGGCATTTCCCCTGGCACGCTTCATGCGAAAAAGGGAGAACCGAAGAAGAGTAACCAGTTGTCGTGAATAATATCATCCAATCGTGATGCCGCCTTTGAGTGATCAAGAACATGCCGCGTCGACACGATTTATGGGGGCGACTACGACCGAACCTCTTTTAGAGCATACTCGACTGGGAAACTGTGAAATGAAGTGGTGCAGTTTTGAAACATCGTCGATAGATGCATACGCAGCACATAGCAGCCAGCCTTTTGTGCCATTTTGGGAATCCCGCGAAGCTCGGGGCTGCCAGATACACCAGAACCGACACGACCCTGCAGGGTCTACGTGTCACAGGGAATCTTGGCAATCTCGAAACATGGAAGGTGTATTCGACCTCGTACCGCACTAAAATCGTTTGCCCTCTTATTTATACCTACCGAACCGTTTTCAAATCCTCATCGACGAGGGACCCTGCGGGGTGTCGAGTGTGATCCTCCTCAACTTGTACCATGTCCTCCAGCCTCGTGTCGTAAACCGTGCCAATCTCCAGCTCACGCCGCGCCGAATCCAGGCTCCTCCACTGCTCACTCACATATTTACTCGTGAAAGCCTTGAATCAAAGCCGTTTTGGTTTTGCTGTCAGAACAGAGCTCCATACCATTCAGTGGATCTGGGTCGCGCAGTGTTGTAGCTCCTGTCCTGTCTCCCCTGAACCCTTGTGAGACACCCGTCACTCGTGTAGGCAGCTGATCACCTTCAAGTCCGTGCGACCTTTCCGTAAAGGCCTTACCCTCTTGTCTCTTGCCAGACGCAGCAATGGCCGCACGTACTCTCGCGATGTCGACTGTCACCGCGTTGTCCGGATCTCTCGCCTCCAGAGCTTCGGATCTGTCTCAAAGTCACCAGTTTCGGCCGCTGCCTCAGTCCTTCACACCCTCTTCTGTGTCGCTCAGAGGCAAGGCGGCGGCGACCCCGGTGACGTGTACAGCGACCGCGCCTGACACCAAGGCGGCGGCTGCCACGTCGGACGAGAGCCGCGTGTACAACTTTTCCGCTGGACCCGCTACGCTGCCGCGTAACGTGCTGGAGAAGGCTCAGGCAGAGCTTGTTGACTGGAATGGCAGGTGAGCAGTTTAAGTGAACGAACGTCCAAAAAAGGTTCTTGTCCTTTTTTTTCAAAGGTGCGCCCGACTCCTCTGTCGTCCAAGATTCACTGCACTTGAATTCAAAAACATACTTTTTCTGATCTAGATCGTTCTGGCCGAAGAGATCTGTACCATGATTTCATTTGCAAGAGTCTGGCATAGTTTATTCAGCACTCTTGCCGGATTCGGTATCTTCTCTTTTCTCAGTTTACTCAAGTTCATGTGACACACGGCTCTCACACGGTTCAATTGCATGTTCACCAACCCTCCGCAATCCGCCATCCTCCGCCCTCCACTCATCCCCCGCTCCCACTCCCCTCCCTCCCACCCCCCCCTCCCTCCCGGCGCTCCCGTTTCAGCGGCATGAGCGTGATGGAGATGAGCCACCGCGGCAAGGAGTACCTGTCCATCATCCGCAAGGCGGAGGCGGATCTGCGCGCGCTGCTCGCCATCCCCGACTCCTACGCCGTGCTCTTCCTGCAGGGCGGCGCCTCCTCGCAGTTCTCCGCCATCCCGCTCAACCTCTGCACGCCCGACGACACGGCGGACTATGTCGTCACGGGCTCCTGGGGCGACAAGGCGTACAAAGAGGCGGGGAAATACTGCAAGACGAATCTCGCCGCCACTGGGAAGCCCGGAAAGTACACGGACATTCCGCCGCCTTCGGAGTGGAAGCTGACGAAGGGCGCCAAGTACGTGCATATCTGCTCCAACGAGACGATCCAGGGGGTGGAGTTTAAGGGGTATGACGATGTTGTTGCGGCGATTAAGGCGGGTTGCGGCGAGGACACGCTGCTGGTAGCGGACATGTCGTCGCACTTCTGCTCGTGCCCCGTGGACGTGTCCAAGTTCGGCGTGATCTACGCGGGCGCGCAGAAGAACGTGGGGCCGTCCGGCACGACGATTGTGATTATAAGGAAGGATCTGCTGGGCAAGGCGCAGCCGTCGACGCCCGTGATGATGGACTACGCGATTCATGCGGAGAACGAGTCGATGTACAACACGCCGCCGTGTTACCCGATTTACATGTGCGGGCTCGTGTTCGCGGACCTGCTGGAGCAGGGCGGGCTCGCGGGCGTGCAGAAGCGCAACGAGGACAAGGCTGCGCTGCTCTACGATGTGAGTGGCTTCTGCTCTGCGTGTTGCGGGTGAATGGCACCGCCTTGTTGAGTCGCCAGCTCTGTGTTGCTGCTCCTTGCTTGTCTTGCTCCCTTCTCACATTCCGTGGCCACCCACTCACCAGTTCCCAAGCAACATTTGTACCATAAACCCTGAATCCCGCTACTCAATCTTCGGCATACTCCTTCCCCCATCCTTTCCCCTTTCTTCAAGCCTCTTCCTTCATCCGCTCGCCTCCCATCCCCACCCTTAACCCCCTCCCTCACTTCCGCTTGTCCCCCATTCCCCCCTGGCCATTCTGCAGGCCATTGACGGCAGCAATGGGTTCTTCAAGTGCCCGGTGGCCCCGGCAGTGCGGTCACTGATGAACGTGCCGTTCACCATGGCCACGCCAGAGCAGGAGGCAGAGTTCCTCAAGGCCGCCGCCGCGCAGCACATGGTGCAGCTCAAGGGCCACCGCAGCGTGGGCGGCGTGCGTGCGTCCATCTACAACGCCATGCCTCGTGCTGGTGTGGAGAAGCTGGTCAAGCTCATGAAGGACTTCCAGGCTGCTCACTAGATGCATGCATGGGGTGCTGCTAGGTGCTGTAGCCTTGTTGGTTTTTGTACGGAATTAAACATATGCAACAATATAGTGGATGGACATGATGCATATAGTTGAATGTGGGTATTTTTCTGACTTCAATCTGCATTGCTTTACTGAATTTTGTACAAAATCTCATTGTCAATGTGCTAACAGCTGGTATGGAAAGTGTATACGGTACATGGTATGGTACGGTAAAGTATATCTTACGTTTCTTATGTTTCCAGAACGGCCGTTCTCGTCCCCAAAACGCTGAAAGATCTGCACATGTGCAGATAATCCAGCGGGCATCTTTCATTCGCGCGCGCCAACGACCAATCATGCCCGCCACCCTCCCACGCTCTTGCTAGCTTGTTACTATACCGGTAGGTCCACACGCATACAACCACGTGACCCAGTGGAAGAAAAACGCACGGAACGGGCGTTCTCGTCCCCAAAACGCGTCAGGATCCGCACAAGTGCAGAAAACGCAACAGGCATCTTTCATTCGCGCGCGCCAACGACCGGTCATGCCCGCCACCCACCCACGCTCTTGCTGGCTTGGTAATACCGTCACCCCCCGGATAAGCCCCCATGGGGGGGTATAATAAAACATGATTTTTTAGGGGGGTGGGCGGTAGTGTAGCAAATTCATAAGCGCCGGGGCTTATATAATGACATATATGAAATTTACTGTTCTCGTTCTTGCGATTTGAATCGCGTCAAAATTAGCGAGTGTTGTGAATGAAATCTCGCGTAAGTTGGCAGGGATAGACTCCGTGCCAACACACACAGTCGAAATGAGTCATGTTTTCCACATGACAGGTCATTCTAACTAGACGCGCACGAAGTGAGTCGCGCGAGGTTAAAGGCCATCGAAATTCGGGACGCAAAATGGGTGTTTCGTTACAGATGTATCATTAAAATATAAAAAACAATACAGATAAAAGCGTTTATACTCTACAAGCCATCAGGGGTGCGCTTATAATCGAGGACCGGATATAAGCGCCATATGCCAATTATAAGCGCCTGGCGCTTATCCTAGGGTGGCGCTTATATCCGAGGGGTGACGGTAGGCCCAGACGCGCACAGCCGCGTGATCCAGCAGAAGAAAAACGCCCAAAACGGGCAGTCTCGTCCCCGAAACGCGGAAGGATCCGCACATGTGCAAAAAACACAGCAGGCATCTTTCATTCGCGCGCGCCAACGACCGATCATGCCCGACTGTTAGAATCTAGCAGCAGGAATGAATCAACTATGAGAGAATTGGGTACAAAAGAGAAACCCTAAAAGGGGCTGTACTCCATATTGGCTACCCCACTACAGCCTAAACATATATAGCAGATATATCATTTGACACACCCCCATATGCAAAGTGGGGGAGAGCAAGGGGTCACAAGACCAGTCAAGAGAAGCAAAGCAAGCTCAGGGTGGATCAGAACGTCACCACACACACAGAGCACAAGCAAAGGGCCACAAGGCCAAATCACATGCAGAGGTATATTTGCAACAACAACAGCACAGTGATCTCTACCTAGCAGAGCAAGCATGCAGGTAAATATATAGATCACAGTACAAACAAAGTCTACAGCAAGTGAGGAAAAGTGGGCACAAGGCCTAACAAAGTGCAGAAACGCTGATGATCACCAGACGGAAGTGCCTTGGTGAATATATCAGCAGTGTTGGCCCGAGTGGCCACGTGAGCAAGACGAAGCTGACCACGCTGCTGCAGCTCTCGAGTGAGGAAGTAACGTAGAGCGATGTGCTTCGTTCTGTGCTCCAGTCTGTGCTCCTGACCAGAGACAAGGACACGGCGGTGCATGCTACGAAGGCGCTTCACCGAGGGGTGACCAAGGCGGTGGTGCCAAAGGAGGGTCTGGTGCGACAAGGCGCGACACGAGCAGGGGGCCGCTAGCTGACCGGATGCAGACGCAGACGCAGCTACCTGAGGGGACTCAGTGGTCAGTGTGTACAGGCCCGACCCCAGCTGCCGAGTGAAAGTAGCCAGGTGA